TGGAGACTAAACATACTAGAAAAATATAAGAAATAACTATTCTAAACTGAGCTTATAAGTATGGAAGAAGGGATATCAAAATGGGAAGGAAACAGGGTGTATTTATAGGTTTTTTGGTGAGGTTTGGTAGAATACCCGACCGGGTATATCAAAATACCCGACCGGGTATTTAACCAAATCTGATTTTCGCACGATCTTTTGCTTTATTTGATCTTGTAAGATCTCTCACATGATCCTTTGTTGATTCTTGATTGATTCTTGCTCAAAATGATTCTAAATTTACTAAATTACAACAAACTAGAAAAATGAAATGATTGCACCGTAAATGTGCAATTACCACAACAACACACCGTAAAAACTAATTAAAAGTAAAAATATACACACTCAGAACCAATGCAATCAACTCCCCCACACTTAATCTTTTACTCGTCCCCGAGTAAAATCATAAAGTTCTTCACCATCCAAAGAGTTTCAAAGTGTTTTCTTTTTTCAGTTTAAACTCATTCACACTATAGAAAGTTATTGCTTCTCGCTCCAACTGCTTGCTATGGTGAAAATGAACTCCTGCAAAAATAATTCATTCTCTCATTTATCTCATTTTGCTTAGGAGCCGTTTCAGGTTTTCATCTTAGCCTCTCATTTTTTTTGACTCACTTTTTTTTGTTAATGTTGCTTAGGTTGCCCGTTTGGGTTTTGAACCTAACTAGCATTTCTTCTTTTTATTATTTTTCTTTTCTTTCTTTTTCTCTTTTTTGTATTTGTTTTTTTTATAAATACAACGAAGAAGAAACACTATATGTACAATGAAGAGTCTTTTCCCCCCTTGCTAAACCAAGCACTGTCCTTGGTGCTCGTCATTGCCTAGGTTTCTTTTTCTTTTTTCTTTTTTGTTTCTTTTTTTTTTTCCCTAGAAAGTTGGGGATTTTGGAGAGGAAGGTTGGGAGTTTTCAAGAGTTATGTGGAGCAAGAGGAAAGTGATGGGAGCAAGATTATGATTTTTTTGTCGTGTTTGGTGGATGATTTGGGTATATTATTGAAGAAAGAAAGATATGGTCATGTGGTTTGAGATGATTAGGGCAGAGTTGTATGGTGTTTTGGAAGATTAAACATGAAAAGTGATGAAGAGAAGGCTGCTAGGAAAAAATAGTAAACACACAATGACGCACCTTGCTTGAGTTTCCAAGTTTAAAATGCGAGACTTGGTCTCGTTTTGGAATTGCACCATGTTGTTTTGCATGGTGGTCATGTTGGTAGTAAGAGCCCAAACCATGTCCTCAGATCCGTGGACATGTTGGAGAATGGATCATACCTCATGTGAGGTATTTTTCTTTGAAAACCAACATCATCACTTTGTTCAAGATATTCTTCTTGGAGCTTTGGACAAAATTCCGTAAGATGCATGTGAGACATGCAAATGTTGCAGGTCTTGGCATCTTGAGCTTTTGAGCATAAGATAAACTCTTTTATTAGAGAAGTTAAGACGGAAATTTGACTCTCTAGGGATAATGTGTTGGTATTCATATACTCATGTAAGCTCATGAAATAGAAAAGTAAGATTTTTTTTATATTCTTTTTTATTTAATTTTGTTATTTTTACGAAATCAAATAAAAAGAAAAATAATTGTCTTTCCCCGGCAACGACGCCAAATTTGATGAGCACTTCGTCGTAGTGCGTCAAAATAATACGTAGATGAATGACATATATGAGATTTAATTCAAGAATAAAAAGGACTTGGCATTGCTACTTTCCACTTGTTGATATATTTTAGTCGATCATTGTTATATCTATAACTTATTAAATTTATAAAAAGGACTTGGCATTGTTATATACTTCTCGAATACTCAATCGAGGAGTATCTCCAATTCATCGAGGGTAGTTATTAACAACGACCGTTCATTGACAACTCTTACTATTAATCAAATATAGAACAACGTCGTATACCGATTTAATAGTAGCATTTAATCTTTTTAACTCCTTCATAAAATCAATTGAGATTGATAACCTAAACACAACGGTTTCGGTTTAACCAACAAAATTAATCCCTCTTAAGTTTATTAACCACGACCGTGCATTAATAAACTGAAGTTACTTACTTGTGAAACCATCAACGATTAACCATCGGTTCGTTGATCGTTTCTAGTAATAATTAATGTCGGAATGTTAACGAATCGTCACTTAGCAACATTCCAACATTAATATAGAATGAGATTAAGGGAAGAATTAATAATCAAGAGAAGAAGTTAAGAAAATAACCACAACTTTAATAATCAACAAGCTTCAAGAGCAAAACCAAGAAATGAGAGTTTAGCTCCTCATTTAGAGACTAAACATACTAGAAAATATAAGAAATAACTATTCTAAACTGAACTTATAAGTATGGATTATGGAAGAAGGGATATCAAAATGGGAAGGAAATGTGGTGTATTTATAGGTTTTTTGGTGAGGTTTGGTAGAATACCCGACCGGGTATATCAAAATACCCGACCGGGTATTTGACCAAATCTGATTTTCGCACGTTCTCTTGCTTTGTTTGATCTTGTATATCTCCGGGTCAAGTCATATCCGACCGGGTATTGATAATACTCGACCGGGTATGACACCAAATCACATTTTTTTTATGATTTCTTGCTCCCTTGCACCTTCCTTTGATCTCGTAAGATCTCTCCCATGATCCTTTGTTGATTCTTGATCGATTCTTGCTCAGAATGATTCTAAATTTACTAAATTACAACAAACTAGAAAAATAAAATGATTGCACCGTAAATGTGCAATTACCACAACAACACACCGTAAAAACTAATTAAAAGTAAAAATATAAACACTCAAAAACTAATGCAATCAGGCTAGCAAAAAAAAGTTGACAAAGTTTTAAAAACTGGAGAAAATATATGATTCAAATCTGTGCAGGGGAGCGAGAAACAATTTTAACCAGATATTTTTTACTTTCATTGAATTGACAAACTGTTTTGAAAACATAAAATAAGGAAATTTGATAAAATTTTGTTTGACAGAGGGATAAGAGAATATTGTAATATGATTTGATGATATTTTTTTTTTGAAAGGAATGATTTGATGATCTTAATAAACATCAAAATAATTAGAACTGCTAACTTTCTTGAATACTCTCTGAGTCTCTTAACAAATTTCGTATGTAGTACTCGCTCCATTCTTTAATAAGTGTCTCATATTTTTTAACTTGTTTTTGATTATTTGTCTCTCTTTCTCCTTTTTTAAGTATTCCCCTTCTTACATTCTACTTTCTCTCTCTTTTTTTTTTATTTATCATTACTTTATTTTTCTTAATTTATTCTCTTGCTCTACCCCTACTATTTTCTTGTTAAAAATCACAAAATATCTTAGGAGACTATTATTGAAAAACACAATATATATTTTTGGAATTGGAAATTTGGAATCGTTTATTTTCTTCACATATAACTATCTATTGTTTTATATAGTAAAACTCAGTTATAAACCGCTAACGTGTCTTGCTTTCATTGAATTGGTTAACAAGATTTAATTAATGTAATTAAACATTTAAGGGAACTTTCCCTTAAATGTTTTAATTAAATCTTGTTTTAATGTTTTAATTAAATCTTGTTAACCAATTCAATGAAAGCAAGATGATAAAAAAAATCAATGAAAGCAAGACACGTCAGCAAGAAAGTTCCCGAAATAGGACTAAAACAGTTTAAAAATTCCAAAATAGGACTATCATATTTTTATTCCCAAAATAGGAGTAATTACTGTCAAGTTTGGAAAATACTGCCATGTTTGAAGTCTGGTACTGCCAAAACATGACAGTAATTAGTCCAATTTTGGGAATAAAAACATTGCAATCCTATTTTGGAATTTTCAAATCTTTTTAGTCCTATTTCGGGTAATATTCTCAACATTTAATTATAGGGAAAGTTCCGGAAATAGGACTAAAACAATTTGAAAATTCCAAAATAAAACTGTCATGTTTTTTATTTCCAAAACAGGAGTAATTACTGTCAAGTTTGAAAAATACTGCCATGTTTGAAGTTTGGTACTGTCAAAACATGACAGTAATTAGTCTTATTTTGGGAATAAAAACATGACAATCATATTTTGAAATTTTCAAACTTTTTTAGTCCTATTTCGGGTAATATTCTCTTAATTATAACATTTATGTAGAAATTGTAGGATAGAAAAAACGGGAGAAAAACGCTAGAGAAAACATAGGAGAAAAGACCGGAATAAATACGTAAGCATACAAATGACAGAGTCCTTAATCACTTTTCTTTTTTATTATTAATTTCAATTTTCACAAATGTATATCTTTGATTATAAAATCATAGCATACGCAACAGAGATACCATACACTAGATAAAGTATACAAACGCATTTTGTCACTTCATCAAATATTATAGAAATAATGGGTTGTAATACAACTAATAGGATTTTATAAGAACAACAACATTCAAGTCTTAATCACAAAAAATATTGAGGTATACTAACATGAGTCAATCCATGATATCAATGTAAAAAAGAGAAGAAGGGTAAGAAAAATAGAAAATCTAAGATAAAATGGTCAAGATTTTGACCGCAATGGTGGAGAGATTTTAATTCACTGAGGCAACACTAAATTATCCTTTTTTTTTATTTCATTTGAACATAAAAATAATTCACACCGCATCGGCTGTAATACGCATCACAACGGCCTTAATAATAGCCGCAACCACAATTCCGCAATGACCGCAACGACTAAATGTAAAACCTTGATATGGACTAAATTGTAAATATGTAATATGTCAGATTGTGATTATAGTCCAATTTACATCCTCCCATCGTGCCGTTCGGTCGGTGTTGGGGGACCCTCAGGGATGAGGTGTCATCCTTTTTTTAATATGGACTAAAGTGTAAATATGTAATTTGTCATGATGGATAATTTAATAATCATTAACAATTACGAATTTATAATTGGTTATGATTAGTTCATAATAAAATTTTATTATATTTATCTTTGAATGATATAAATAATTCACGATATCTATTTGTATTTTACATTTTAACTCATAGCAAATTGATATGCTACCGGACATGCCCTGGCTTTACACTAGTATAAGTACTCCTACGGACTACGTTGTACGTACTGTCACATTTCACATATATAGCGCAGCTAATTAAATTAATTACCCATATAATAACAACTTAACAGATGTGAAATTAAAACCTGGGGCAAAAGAATCCGGTATCCAAGATTTCTAGACCAATTAAATGAAGAAAAAACCATGCAGAAAGACTTTAAGTTCTAACTTAAATTAAACAACCCGGATTCTTCTTCCCCAGATGGATAATACATCCTCAAAACACTCTGTTTAAAACTGCACCTTAATTTTCTTTTCTTCAGATCATATACTAACGGATTAACCCATCATGCTAGATCTGGAGAAGCTAAGCACACCTGATCAACTCTAACATATTCACCACTTCTGCCATATCAGGTCTCTTAGATGGAACTTGAGACGTGCATATGAGCCCTAACTTGACCACAGGAATGACCTCCTCAAGAAGATTATACACCCCATGCAACCTCTCATCAATGCATTCTTCCACCCGCCCTTCTTCCAATGCTCCTCTCACCATATCACATACCACCACTACATCATCCTCCATATACTCCACCGGTTTCTTTCCCGTCACAATCTCGAGAATCAGAACGCCAAATCCATACACGTCACACTTCTCGGTTATCTTCACGGTTTTGCATGCGAACTCGGGTGCCATGTATCCAAGGGCGCTTTGGACTTTACTGCTAAGCACGTATCGGTCCAATGTTGGTAGTAGCCTTGCCAATCCATAATCCGATAGCTTCGGCTCGCCAGATGACTCATCCATTAGAATGTTGCTCGACTTCATGTTGTAGTGGATGATGTTCATTTTGTGTAGATGGGCTAGACTTCTTGCAGTCCCGAGTATCACTTTAAACCGCTCGTTCCAACCGAGATCAGAACCTGACGCGTTGTGGAGACGCTCATAGAGGTTTCCACCCGAAACGAATTCGTATATGAGAAGCTGGAGGTCTTGTGTCCAATAGTAGCCCTCAAGTGACACAAGGTTACCATGACGGACATCTTCTTCTCCCAAGTTCTTAACTACCCTTTCGAAGTCCTCCTGAGACTTCACTAGATTTGAGACAGTGAGTTTCTTGATCGCAACGGCACGTCCATCCCCGAGGACGGTTTTGTAAACTGTCCCGAACCCACCATGGCCTATCTCGGAGTCCTTGTTGAGCAAGGGACGATGAGCGGGGCCCACACTAAAGTTGTGATCTCCGGAGAACATGACGAGCTTACCCGAACCACTAGCTTCGCCATTGGTGTTAGTGGAGCAAGGGGTAGAATCGTCACCGCCATAAAATGCACGTGGAGAAGTGACGGGTTGACGGGCACGCGTATTGAGGACGCTTATAGTTATCACACCAAAGAAGATTACAGCTGCTGCAGCAATGGCGATAAGGGAAGAAATGCTAAGGATTTTCTTCTTGTGATGGAAGGTTGGAAGGGCTTTTGCGGGAGAGGAGTCATCGACGGTTGAGTTAGGGTTCAGTACTAGAGGTTTGGGAAGAATGAGAGGGTCACATGAGGTATTAAGAGCGGGCCCACAAAGAGAGGGATTCCCAGAAACAGAAAATGGTGAAATTCTGTTGAAGAAACCACCTGTGGGTAGCTCTCCATTTAATTGGTTATGTGAAATGTTGAAGGATAAGAGGTGAGCAAGACTGGATAGCTGTTTTGGTAGGCTTCCGGTTATTCTGTTAAAAGACAAGTCAAGGTTTTGGAGGGAATTAAGTTTGGCTAAGGCTGCTGGGAAAGGGCCAGTTATGTCATTATGGGAAAGAGACCTGCAAAATTATTCAAAAGTGTCATAAGTGTAGTTCAATTAGTACTTTTTTAACAATAGAAGTTACTTTCATTGATAATAAGATTGTGAAGGGCAAATGTGGAAGCAAAGGCCTCCTGATTTTATAAAATGACACATTATGAAATCGCAATGACACTTAATTAGCATGAAATAGAGAAAATAAATTCATTTGTACATGTAATATTTCTATATGATTTTTACAACTTCGCAGTTGGTATGGTGGTGAATGAGTAGGAACCCCTTTGGTAAGGGTTGGCTGAATGACTTAATATGCCGAATTTGAATTTTATGACAGAAGAAGCCTTTTGGTAACATATACTACAAATAAATAAGTCAAAAGCTACTTAATCCAATAGAATTTGTAGCTTTGGCTGCAAACTGGGCCCAAATGTCTCCATCTTTGTGGAAACAGTATTGAAGAAGGAAACATAATTTCAATCTTGAAAAACAAGAAAGCTGGAAACCACATTAATCACTTTATACTTTAAAACTTTCAGAGAAAACTAGTGACCAGTTTGGCATTTGAAAGCTAAAAACAATCTGGAAACCACACAATTGAGGATAATAAGTAGACAACTTACAATGTCACTAACGATGAGCAGTTCATGATGGAAGAGGGAATTTCGCCAGATAACGAGTTCTTCTGAAGCCACAATTCCCTGATAGAAGTGATTTCCCCAATCTCTAAAGGGATGCTTCCATTCAACTCATTCTCACTTAAGTCCATAATATCCAAAGATCTCAACCTTCCAATACTTTTGGGAATGCTTCCAACAAGTGAGTTTCCAGACAAATTCAAGAACTCCAACCCACTAAAGTCCCCAAGAACAGATGGAATCTCCCCAGATAAATCATTGCCAGACATATCCAAAGACACAATCTTTTGGCGGGAATTGTTTGTGGATGAACCCAAAATATTACCAAGATTACCCTTAAACTTGTTTACTGAAAGTATGATCTTCTGCAACCCCAGATTGTAAAGCCATGAAGGGAGTTCACCTGCTAAGAAGTTATAACTAACATCCAAAGCAAAAAGGTTTGAACAATTGGACATGGAGATTGGAAAGTTTCCAGATATCGAATTCTTGGAGAGATTGAGTGTGTTCAAAGACTGAAGCTTTTCTATGGAAGTTGGGATATGGCCAGAAAAGGTGTTTTCTGAAAGGTCTAATGTCTGAAGGCTTTTCATTTCTCCAATCCATTCTGGAATATCACCAGAAAGTGTGTTTCTTCTCAACACCAATCGCTTACACATTCTTAGGTGCTGAAATGAGATAGGAAGCGTACCAGAAAGGGAATTTTGGCTAAAATCAATTGATCTAAGTAGTAGACAGTCTCCTATTTCGGGAGGTAATTTACCCAAGATTTGATTTTTCCTCAAATTAATCTCTCTCAGATTCTTGAGACCTCCAATGCCCTTTGGAATCACACCCTTGAGAAAATTGTCTGACAGATCAAGTGACCTTAAGGAAGGCAAAGACCAAATTCCAGATGGTAAACTTCCAGAAAACCAATTCGAAGACAAGTTTAAGGCAATCAAAGATACACATGAGCTCAAACTCTCTGGGATTTGTCCTGAGAACCTGTTTTGGGCTAAGGAGATCGATTTTAACGACCCACATTGTTGAATGAACTCTTCTGAGATATTCCCAGATAAATTGTTCTGGCTCAAATCCAAAACTTTAAGTTTAGGAATCTGGGTAAGACTAGAACTTAACCCTCCTGTAAGATTGTTCTTGGAAAGGGAAAGCTTTCTAAGAAACTGTAATTGAAGAAGCCCTCTACTACCCATCTTCCCAGAAAGCCCAAAACCATCAAGGTTAAGCTCGGTTACCCTATTGGATCTACGATTGCATTTGACCCCAACCCAATTGCACGGACTATCATCTTCTTCAGACCAAGAAACCAACTTTCCTACTGGATCAAGAATGTCGGATTTGAAGGCAATCAACCCAAGAACATCGTCATTTAGGGGAGGGTTTAAAGCCCTAACCAAAATGGAAGATAAAAGACTCAGAACGAAAATGCAGAACACCCTTCCCATTTCAGCTCCTGGCAAGATACATAAAACAAGTCAACTAAAACATAATCTGGCATATAGATGCTCATCAATCAGAATAAAGCACCGAAAAAACGTCTGAAAATGAAAAATATAGAAATGCTTACAAGAGTATTTGGAAAACACTACCTACAAGACTCCAATTTGTAGAGATGAAGAGTCTGTTTTGAACGGAATGAACGCCGCGTAGAGCTAGAGAAGGCACAACATAGCTTTGGCATGAATAAAAGATGCAAATTTAGAAGAATTTGCTGCTACTAAAAAACCCAGACGCAATAAGACAGACACATTGGCCGGCGAGAAAAAACTATGGGCAAGAAACGGTTACATAGATGAAATGGTGAAAATGTTTTCAAATCTCCAACGGTTAAGGAATTTTTCTGAGAAGAGGAAATGGGAAAGTGGAGGAGAAGCCGGAAAGTTCGCCGTCGAGGTAGTGAGACAGTGAAAAGCATTGAAAGCTCTCGTCTTTCTATTGTCGGAGTGCATGACAGATAGCGGTAGTATTTATTAACGAGGGAAAAGGAAGAAGAGAATGGAGGACCCGCTTTTATTTTCTGAAAGGTGTCAACGTCTAATAAGCTATTGGTTGACCTATAAATATAAACTCCAAGGGCCAAATCTCGTTTTATTCCAACTCACTTTTCCTCACATGGCTTAAATTCATTAGATTTGTTACTTGCACTACTTTTTATACACATCTTATGATCTTATACACAATTTTATGAGAATATTATCTTTTTATGTGTGAATATCGTTCAAAATAAAAGCATGTTGACATATACGTTTTGGCGTGAACGAGATTCACAGACATGGCCGTAGATGAGGGCGTGCAAGAAGTGCTACCGCACAAAACCTCTCGATTCAGAAGGCCCAAAATTTTAAATATAGTCTACATATAATATACAAAATCCTTTTTTATCTGATTAAAGATTCCTATTTTAGTATTTTGTTTTTAAATACAAACATTAAATACTACTACATAATATTTATATGTAATTAAAATGCAATTGTTAATTATAAATGTGCAACTTCTTTACTACATAAGGCTTGGATAAGGCCTAGTTATAGTAATTAGCACAAATTCATCGTACAGTTTGAACGAGCTTGGTTTTAAGGGACGGAAGGAGTAGTTTTTTCAGTAATATTCTACTCTATATTTTTTTTAGTTCATGATTTTAATTCATTTCTTTTCGGTTTTAGTTTTTTTTACCGATTTTGGTTGTTCAGGTTCGAAATATGATTATATATATCTCAATGTCACATTTGATTGTAGTCTTTTTTGAGTTATTTTTTAAAGGCTGCTTTTTATATTATACGAAGTATTTTTTTAATATAAGGCCTATTTTACGTTATTTGCACCGGGTCTCCTAATCTATTGAGCCGGCCCTGTTCACAGATAAAAAATAGTTTTCTCACGAATGTGTCTATAAAGTATGAACAAAAAAGTGAATACAAATAGAAATTTTGTAATTTTTATAATCCATTGACAACTTTGTCAATTTGGCATATTCTGAACAATATTTTGTCTGTGTAAATACAACAATATCTATTGCTCCGAAAAAATGAAATGTATGTGCCATCTATATTCTTTTTTATGCAGTCATTTGTTTTATAAAAACGAAATACAACTATCCATGCACAGACAAAAGAAACACAAAAAAATATTGTATTTTGAATACTTATATAGTTATATGAAGTGATTTGTGGGGGCCTGTTTATATGTTATTTACAAATACTACAAACGAATGTTCTTAATATAACATGCAGTGAACTCTTAAGCAAGAAGTTGGTGCACACTATGTATACGTTACATGCTTCGAATCTTTGATACCATTATTGTGTTCCTTCCTCACCATTGTCATAGTTTATGACTAAAAAAAAGCTAAACAGAAAGAGGAGTGCCGTGGGGTCTGGGGATGAGAAGAAAAAGGTGGTTGGCACTTGGCATCTTGACCTGGCAGAAAAAGTCCCGCTTTTTGGCATTCGATGTGAGCTTCTCTCGTATTTTGAGAAAACACCCGTTGCATACTACAGGTGTTTTCTCAAAATAAGGGAGAAGCTCACATCGAATGCCAAAAAGCGGGACTTTTTCTAAGTTTTCTAAAAAAGCGGTAGTCGGAAGTGTAGATTCCGACTGAATGGTTCAAAGACTTTTTTTAACTCCCCTGTCGGAAGTGCCTATTCCAACTAGCAATTTCTTTATTTTTTTATGACGTGTAATTAGTCTATTTGCCAATTCCAAAATATGGTTTGTGGTTGGAAAGTGACGTGTAAGTTGTAGTTTATTTTCCAATTCCAAAGTTATTTATTCATACTTTAAATTATAATAAAAGTGATATTTATAAATAGACCAGACCAGATCCGACTTAGACAGTTGTAAAATTGATTGAAATCAAATATTTATTTGACCAGACCAAACTTAAATAGACAAGATCAAACCATATCAGACAAGACCAAATCAACAAATTACAGTCCAAAAGAAAACATCCTTAAAGTGATAGATGAGAGTTAGTTTTATCTGATTAAATTTATGTGATTAAAATTAATTTGATTAATCTTATCTGAAACAAATACCGTACCTGGTAATTTATACTTATTTATTAAGCTTAAAAAAATATGATTAAAGTTTATCACATTATATTGGTCATATATAATTTATCTGATTAAATTTTTCTTATTTAAATTCATGCAATTTTCAAATTATAAATATTTCCGTGTATAAATATATAATCGGTCAAAACTTTGACTTGAAAAATAGTGTTTCGCTAAATAAAAAGGGATGGAGGATGATGAAGTTTAATCCAACTACGAGAGCAATATCTACGAGAGCAGATGAAAATTAGGCATCGTAAGGCAGTATTATTAATCCGGAATTCGGTGCCTTGATAGGAAGTGTGCAGGAAGTATTTATAGACCCTAGGAGCTAGTATTCTAGGAGGAAACTGATATAATAAATGGTGATGTCACCCAGGCAACCCACGTTGGTGTCCCCACTTCCCCGGCAGAATCAGGTAATCCGGTTAGAGCTCCACGTTGGCTTCAAATCCGATTTTTCATGAACGTACGAAACATATAGAACTTGATTGTCACTTTATCCGAGATCACATTCAAGCAGGCACAGTGGCACCATCATACACTCCTACTACCAAACAGCCTGCGGACTTACTTACTAAAGCGCTCGGAGCTCATCAATTCTCGTATCTTCTTGGCAATATGGGCATTTGTGACTCCCATGCTCCATCTTGAGGGGGGTGTTGGGTGTTAGTTATTATTATTTAATTTGTGTACATATTTATTCATGTAACATTTTTTCTTTGTACGTACGTAGTCTTTTAGGATTGTTTCCTTCTTTACTTCCTTTTGTTTCGCATGGCAGGACGTATCCAAGCCGATGCGTGTACTTTGTATGTATACGGCTGCATCCTGCTTCGAGATCAGCTAAGCAGTATCAAAAATCTTTCCATATTGCTCCGTTTTACACTTTTACAGACATTTACCAGGATGGACCAGAGTATTTCAGAACAGACCAGTTCAAATCAGATTAGACCAGTAAATTTTCGTCTAAAAGAAAACATCCTAAAACCAATATTTCTATACATAATATTTATGTTTATTTCTATACGCAACATTTAAGTATTTATTAATTTATAAATAATTTCCATATTAAAACCAATATTTTATACATAAAAACGTAATAAAAATCAGTTCCATACTACGTACTACGTACTCCGTATTAAAATTCCTTATTGTGTAGCAATTGTTTTGTACGATAGTATTTTTTTGAAGGACCTGTTTTGAAATTATTCATCATTCTCCACTAAATCAAATTATTGTCTAGCTACTAACCCACCCAGTCGGAATTGCCACTTCCGAGTTTCCGACTAGCTGTTATTGATTTATTTTCTTGCTATTTGGCAGCCCTAACTCCAGTCGGAATTGTGAATTCCGACTCCCATATTTTGGTAACCTAATTAGGATTCCCGTGTTTTGGCTTGTCAGACATAAAACTCCCGTATTTTGGTAATTTCCTCAAAAAGTCATTACTCGTATTAATTCTTAGAACAGATTGCTCGTTCAAAAAGAAAATTTTTGGAACCATCGAATCACAGTTTAACTTTGGGAACAAATCTTCTAAATTTAATGACCGACTGATTTTAACCACACAATACAGTGCCTCCTTAGCTTCCCAAAATCTGCCTTCAAATTTAGCAATGGGCGTGGCTGAGATATCAACGACATGCGGCGATAAAGATGTGCCAAAAAGATCCCATCCTGAGGCGACCCAAGGTGGCGGCAGGCGGCTGCGTAGTAGGCCATGGGGCGGTGGCGGGCGGCGGGCCATGGGGAGGTAGCGGCAGGGGGCGTGCAGCCGTGGGCGGTGGATCTATGGGGGTGGGAGAATGAAGGTTAGGGTTGGAGAAAAGAGTACGAGCTTAGGGTTTTATAGATATAACCTAAAGGGTATATTTGTCCACCTAAAAAATTATTTATTTATTTATTATGAATTTTAATTAAATATTATGAGTTTTAATATTATTTTGGTAAAAAAACTAGTTAGATCATAGATTGAGAAAGTGGGGAAGTTTTAGTCACACCTAGGATAATTATCTCTAGAAAATACTCCAGTATGGCTTTGCAGCCTTTGCTGAATTAAGCCACTCTAATATATAGAAATGCAGACACCGAATTATTGGGTTACAGATTTGCTAAATTCAGTAAATTGGGCCGACCAGAAGCCCAGTATGTTTATTACTCTGCAGTTATTTATGCTACTACGCAAAACGTCGCCGTTGGACTAAATGAAATAAACCTACGGGACTTTCACGTTGTTCACTCCTTTCACCAGCGGAGGCGCAAATAAACAGGTCGGCGAATCAAGGAAGAAGACGATAATCTCTAGGGGCGCGGTGCAAACAATACATATAACTACCTTAGCTATTCCGGCGAACGGGAGGCGCCAGCACCCGCTCGCCCCCCTAGTTCCGCCACTGATGGTTACTATAAATTTAAAAAATATATTTCCACATTCCTATTAAATTATTTAAATTCTTCTTGTTTCGATTTGAATTGAAGTTTAAGAAAGTCAGAATGCAATAAAAATGCATGTTTGTAGTTGAGTAAGAAAATATAAATGAATATTAATCACACGAAACTTCTCAAAAAGAGAAATGGGAAGATCAATGTTTTAGTATATCAATTTTTTGTTTTTTTTGCTTTCAATTCGATATTATTGTTATTTTTATTACCTTGTCATTACTTTTATTTCAAACATTTATGTTGGTTTGAGGGTTGGGTTGGTGAGTTTTGATGTTGTTACTGAGGGAAGTATTTAATTTGGTTTTTAAGTTAAGGCACGCCGACATCTATTTCGAATCTCTCGCATGTTTAGGAAAGGGCGCTGCTCAATCTATTGAGAATGAACTATTTTATACCTGATGAGAGAGTGAAAGGACAAAACCTTGCGATTATATGAGAGCTAGAGGCTCCGAAGGCAAGGGTTATAATGTGTTTCAAAGTTTCTGATTCTTTTTTTTTTTTGAAACCGGGACTAAATTC